GGCCTGCTGGCTGAGTGGGCGTCCAATGTATTGCATGGCGACCCTGCGACGCGGTGCCAAACCGACCCGCCGATCGACAACCCGACTGGCAAGAAGATAATTGCGCCTCGGCTCGCGTGGGCAATGATCATATATTTCTCCAGGACCCCCTCGGGTTTGCGGCGCGCGGGCGCGAAGGTTGTGCAGAACGCGTCGCCAATGTAGATTGGACTTCCCAGGCGATGGGGCGTGTCTCGAACGCGGCCCCCGCAGCAGCTGGTGCGAAAGCGAAGGCTCGAGCTAACGCAGAGGACAAGAAGGCTCGCGCAAAAGAGCTGCGCGCGTTGAACTACGACCACGAGCGTGCGATGGCTCGCATGCGGACCGATCGGCACTGGAAACCGTCACCTTCGAAATCGGCGGCGCCACGATTGGGGGCGCATGGTCCACCCCTTTCCTGCCCGAGGCCTGGAGCAGTTGAGGGGTCATGCATGCCTCGTCCGGCGTCGCCGCCTGACCCGATTTGCTGGTATATATCCAACTGCCACACCAGGACGCGCCTCGCCAGGGAGAAGCCCCAGGTGAAGGCCGAGTGGGGCGCCCTGGGCACCGCGGGCAAGAAGGACTGGGTGAAGAAGTGGGCCATGACAGGCCAGCTGGCGGAGGACGAGGAGGATGACGAGGATGATCGAGGAGCAGGAGGAGGAGGAGGAGAAGGAGGAGGAGGAGGAGGAGGAAGAGGAACAAGCAGGGGAATAATACGAAAACGATGAGGAGGACGATGAAACTCGATCCTCGTCCTCTTCGTCGTCGATCCTCCTCCTCCTCCTCCTCCTCCTCCTCTCCTATCATCCTAACAGTCTCTCACCTCCTCTCCTACCTCCTCCCTCCTCCCTCCTCCTCCTCCTTCCTCCCTCCTCCCTACCTCCTCCTCCTCCTCCTCCTCCTGACTCTCCACAATATGCACCTACCTCCTACCTTCCTTCCTGTACCCCCCCCTACCTACTCCTCCCCTCCCTTCTTGCCTCATCACTCCTACCTTGTCCTCCTCCTCCTCCTCCTTCTCCTGCTCGTCCTCTTCCAGCCTTTCCTATGGGAAAGGGTTGGCAACTTCTCTGAGAGGCGACTTCAGCTGGTGCGAGTTTTACAAGAAGGAGACGCGCCGCCTGAGCGAGAGTAAGGGCCAGAAGGGCATGTTCTGGGACGAGGATAAGATGCTGGTGGAGTTCGGGTGGACGGAGGCCAACAAGGACACTCCTACTGGACAGAGGCGCGATCGCTCATCCTTCTCCTCCCCCTCCTCCCGCCTCACCCTCCTCCAGGCCCCCCTCCATCCTCCACCTCCCCCTCCTCTTCTGGGTGCCCCATCTTTTTCCATGATCCCCCTCCATCCTGGCCTCTGTCCCCCCCCTCCATCCCTCAACCCTCCCCCTCCATCGACCCTTCCTTACCCTCCTCGCCCTCCATCCTCCATTCTCCCCCTCCGCCCTTCCGCGCCCCTCCATCCTCCCCCATCCTCTCTCGACCCACTCCTACTTCCTAGTTCCCCTCCTCCTCCTCCTCCTCCTCCTCCTCCTCCTCCTCCTCCTTGGATCCCCCATCCCCCCCCCATCCTCGGCCCCCCTTCATCCTATTCCGCGCGCCTCCTCCCCGCGGGCCCGCCAGGGCTTGGCTGAAGACGCAGAACGTCATGAAGCAGTGCAAGGCGATGAAGGGCTTTACTACGGCGGTGAGGGCATCAAGAGATGTGAGGAGGAGAAGGAGGAGAGAGAGGAGGCGAGGATCGAGGAGGCAGGAGGAGGCCTCCGGCAAGAGGAACAGGAGGAGGATGAGGAGGAGAAAGAGGAGGAGGAGGAGGAGGAGTAGGAGGAGGAATAGGAGGAGAAAGAGGAGGAGGAGGAGGAGGACGAGGAGGAAGATGAGGAGGAGAAATAGGAGGAGACAGAGGAGGAGCAGGAGGAGGAGGAGGAGTAGGAGGAGGAGGAGGAATGCATGGGCAGATGTTGGTGAGCGGAGGTGGATGACCAGACTGGGGAGATGCTGCATCGCCGCCTGCTGAAGTACGACGATTACTTCACGCAGAAGGAGAAGACGATCGAGACCAAGTTCTCCTCCGAGAAGGTTCCCCTCGAGGCCGCCCGCGCAGCCAAGCAGATCAGCCAGAAGAGGAAGGCGCGCTTGGACATCGTGGAGCCCCGCCTTAAACCTTTGCGCATCCAATGCAGGATACGCCATCGAGCAGATCGATGGCGTGCCCTGCAATGGATGCGCAAGGGTGCGAGGTTCAGGCGATATCGAGCGCCCCTGGCCAGGGCATCGCGCAGTCATCCAGCGACGTGGGTTCCTCCGATAGCGAGGCGTCGATGGAGTCGAGCGATGATGAGATCGAGCGCGTCGAGAGCGCGAAGAAGAAGAAGATGGGCAAGAACGACAGCTCGGCGGCAATCGACAAATCAAATGTGGTGTTCGGACGAGTTGCCTCTCTCGAGGCGGTGTTTGAGGGCCTCCAGAAGAAGTCTGAGAGCTGGTACACTCCTTTCGCCCCAGGGGTGGAGAAGGGGCTCGCCACCCTTCAGGAGCTGAAGTTGGAGCTGACGGCTATCATCCAGGGGTTTCTAGGGGAAGAAGGCACGAGGAGAGGATGGCCGAGGAGGCCGAGGAGGGAGGCACGGGAGGGGGAGGAAGAGGAAGAGGGGGAGAAGGAGGAGGATGAGGAGGAGGAGAAGGAGGAGGAGGAGGAGGCAAGGAAGTAGGAGGATGAGGAGTAGGATGAGGATGAGGAGGATGAGACGAGGCCACCTCGAAGCCTCAGCCCTTCCTCCTCTTCGTCCTCCTCCTCTTCCTCCCCCTCCTCCTCCTCCTTCTCCTCCTCCTCCCCATCCTGCTCATTCTGCTCCTCCTCCTCGTCCTCCTCCTCCTCCTCCTCCTCCTCCTCTTCCCTCCTCCTCCTCGATCCTCCTCGTGATCTCGGGGCTTCTCGAGGCCTTCGGAGCTGGGCGGCCTCTCGAGGCCGTCTTGAGATCTTCTCGAGGCCATCGATCTGGGGGCCTTCGAGGCCCAAGCGGTCGGAGCTCGAGATGGCCCCGAGGCTGTCATCGCCCCGTGTCCCCTCCCCGTCCGCGAGCCAGGTCGGGCGAGGAGACCATGTCCCTTGACGAGATCGAGGGTAAGCTGGCCAAGGACGCCGAGCCAGCAGCGATGACGATGGTGATGGCGATGACGACGAGGGCGACGATGGCGATGACGACGACGAAGACGACGATTACGGTTGACGTTGACGATGGCGATGACGCTTACGATGACGACGATGATGACGATGATGATGATGACGACGATAGCGAAGACGACGAGGGCGACGACTATGATGACGAGGACAATGGCGATGACGAAGATGACGACGAGAACGATGATGACGAAGGGGCGGTGACGATGATGACGATGATGACGATGATGACGATGATGACGATGATGACGAAGATGACGAAGATGATACCGATCACGACGGACGAGGATTGCCAAGACGACGAGAACGACACTGGCAACGAAGACGACGAAGATGGCCAAGACGCCGAGGACGACAACGATCCTCGACGATCCCGCCCCGCAGGAGTTGGACATGTGGGAGGCGATGAAGCCGATCATGGAGAGCACGAAGAAGGCTAAGATGATCATCTCGTTCGACGAAATCTAAAAGGGCTGGGGGGCGCTAGGGCTAGCGTGGCCAGGCGTTATACAGGTGCCTTGCATCCTCGGCGTCACAGGTACCTTGCATCCTTGGCTCTGAGTGCCTTGCACCCTTGCCCTTGGCCTTACGGTGTCCCTTGGGTCTTGCATCGTTGCCGACTAGGTCGTCCTTGTCGACGTCGCCCGTCCCCCTCCATATCTTTTTCCTCTTCCTCGTCAGCCTCCTCCTCTTCCTCCTCGCCCTCCTCCTCTCCATCCTCCTCTGTCTCTTCCTCCTCTCCCTCGCCCGTTTCGTCTTCATCGTCGTCGTCGTCGATCGCCGTCGATCGTAGATCATGTGTAGTCCTAGCGTCTGGGCCGTCGTCGTGGTCGTCGCCATCGTCCGTCGAAGACGCCATCGTCTTCGCCGATCCCCGTCGCCCGTCGTCGCCCACCGCCGCCTGGCCGCGCCAGCTCTAGCGAGCGGGCGCAAGCGTAGAGCAGCAGCATGCTCGTTCGACGAGGATCTCGAGGTGTCGGCTCGGCGAAGAGTGAGATTCGAAGGGGGGCGAGGAGAGGGGCAAGGAGAGGAGAGGAGAGGAGAGGAGATGAGAGGAGAGGAGGGGATCGAGGAGAGGAGAGGAGGGGGTGCCACAGGAAGAGGAGAGGAGCCACAAGAAGATGAGTGGGGACAAAATGGGAGTGAGGAGAGGAGAGGGGCCACGAGAAGAAGGAGAGAGGAAAGCTCGAGATGATTCGATATCGAGGCACTTGTCGTGCTCAGTCGCTGTTTCGATTCGGAGTCGATTTGGCATGCCTGATCGGGTCCAGATCCGATTCGATTCGTATTCGGATCCTGGTTCGGACTCGATCGGACTCGGTGAGGATCGAGTTCGGACTCGATATCGTGTCTCATATGGTGGGCATCGATATCCTGTGCTGACTTCGGTCGACGTCGAGGTCGCCGTCGACCGATTGCGCCGTCGACGATCGACGAGTCGACGACATCGATGTCGACGGAGGCCCGCAGAGGACATGACGTCAACCGGTTTCCACCGACATGCGATGTCTTGTTTTTTTTTGTTTGTTCGCGCGTGCCGCGCGGCCCCATGGGCCTCAAGACAAACGCCGAAAGCGCGGCGAGGGGCCCAACAGGCCGTCCAGCTGTACGCGACATGCTCGTCGGTGCGTCTTTGCAGCTGCCAGCGCGCGGCACCGCGCGGGTGGCGCGACCGCTCGACGGCGCCAGTTGCGGCGCGACAGCGGTCGCAGTGAACAAAGTGCGACCGTGCATTCCCAGTTCTCCTCCTCGGATCCTTCTCCTCCTCCCAGACCTGGTCCCTGGGGTCCAGGTCGCGATTCTCCTGAGGGGCCCGAAGATAATCGCGCTTCCAATTCGCATCCAAGTTCTAGGCGGCATGCCGCACTGGCGCGAAGGAGCGCGATCCGATCGAGGGGGGGCGAGCGACTGAACGCACTGCTGGTGAATATGGGAAGGGCAGGGGAGACCGCAAGGTGATGTGGCATGGTCACGTTCGAAGTTCTGAGCGTGCATGGTGGCTGCGCGCTGTTCTCGCAAGGTTCCGTTCTCCCAGGCCATATTGGTTCAAGTGCATGTTCCTATACTCGTTTGTTTCACCAAATTGTGTTTCACCGTACTGGGTTTCACATTGACCGTCATTCTTCCACGATCGGGGAGAGCAGCCGCACTCGAGCTGTCGCTGGCATCCTCATCGTCTGCGCGCCCTGGACCAACCCCAGCGATTACCAGCGCTCCCGACGGGGCCTCATATCTCCCCAGAGCCAGTGATGAATCGAATGACGGAGGCACTGGATTACGACCGTATCTTTTGAGCGAGGGGAAATCTGGTACTTTAAATGCCAAACAGGTTTGTGTTACATCCTACTGGGCAACCCGAAGCGGATCAAGAGGAGTAGCCGATTTAGCCTTGCACCCAGACTCTACGCATTTTGCGGGTCACCTCGAGAGCATCCTGAACCTGCGAAAGAATGAAAGCTTCTACCAAGTTGACATTCCTATGTGGAACTCTGAGAACCAAACTCGGGTGTTCAAGCCTCTTTCTTTCAATCTTCCCCACGAAGTGTTTGCAGCAGAAGCCGAAGCACGTCCCGCTGAGTGGAATCCTGCTGGCTACGACGACCTCCCCAGAGCACTGTGCAACCACCCTGTCTACCAATCCCATGGACCCAAGGCTGTGCCTCTAGGGTACTACAGCGACGGAGTTCCCTTCACGAAAAAAGACTCCTTCGTGAGCCACTACATGTCGAGCCACTTGACAAAATCCAGAACCCTTCTGTGTGTAATCAAGAAATCAGACATGTGCCAATGTGGATGCAGGGGGTTTTATAATTGGGGTGCCATATGTCGAATCCTGGTCTGGAGCTTCAACGCGCTAGCATTGGGGAAGTGGCCTGCGACAAATCACCCCGGCGACCCTTTTCCAATCGGTGATGGGAGAAGCGACTACAGGGGCTTCGACTTGTATGATGGTTTCGCTGGGGCGCTAATAGAATACAGAGCAGACTTACTCGAGCTGATCGGGATGTTGGGCGTTAAGAACTGGAAGAACCCCCTCAACCCGTGCCTGTTCTGCTCAACAACAAGGCCCGCGTGTCCAGAACAACGCCGCTAATACGGCAACACTCGAGAAACTCTTCAATTCGGCAGGCCGCGCTCCAGATATAGATCTGAAGCTGGGTCGATATACATTTCTCGGCTGCGACATTAAACAGTTTCTGACTGTTGCCAGCTTAAGCATTGTTGTTCTAGGCCGCCTTTATAGGGACGACATGTTCAACTTCCCTCGGACCATTCGTGCTGCTTCGTGGGTCAGCAGAGACACGACTGCATATGCTACAATGGTTGCTAGAAGCGTTACCACTCGTACTTTGAACTCTGCAGACGACGTCAGGACACTCAAGAGGTACATGGACTTCAGCGATGAGTTCGGGGGCTTCGCTGTTCATACCTACTGCCCAGAGTTCAATCTTGCCAGGGGCCACCGCCTTCTAGAGAAAGGCCAGGTGCGGGATACACACGATTTGGGTTCACTGGTATTTCCCGTTGTGCTTTTCTTTTTCAATGCCCTGAACCACATGGGGTTAAACCTCCTCTGCCCTCTGATGGATATATGTGGGTTCGACATGCTTTCTCTACACTTGGACTCAATGCATGTTCTCGATCTAGGTGTGTGCCAGTTCTTGTGCGGAGCTGTGATGCGGACCCTAGTGCTCAACAATTTTTGTCGCAGCAGGAAACGATTGAGGGAGTACAGGATCAAAGAGAACATGCAGTTTTTGAATCGGAGGTTGCGCTCATATTACCTTGCTTCTCATGGCACGCTTGGTGGCAGAAAGGGTTCCAAAACCAATATCGGTCGCTTGACTTTCAAGATGTTGGGTGAAGAGACTCGTCTCCCAGCTCGGCTGAAGTCCAAGGCGGCTGAGTGCAGACACCTCCTGCCCCTCATGGCGCTGCTCTGCCAGGAATACAAGGCGTCCTTGGGCCCTGGCGAGTAATATCTTTCCATGGCAGTGGCGGACATGAATGCTATTTATGATGTCATGGCTGCTGAACCGCGTGCTATGTCTGCACGGGGCCTCAAGATATTGGAGCAGAGGACGTTGCATTTCTTGTGGGCGTGGAGGTCGTACGGCGGGCACCTGGTTTATAAATTCCACGCAGCGTATCATATCGCCGAACGGGCGGTGGAGCAGGGCAATCCGAGGGCGTACTGGTGCTACTTCGACGAGCAAATGAACAAAGTGATGCAAGCAGTAGCGCGCTCGTTGCACCCAGGGCGCCAATTTTATGTTACGTTTCTGCGCAAAGTCCTGTTCCAGTCGCAGGCTGCCTAGGATCCACTTACTCATCGCATCATCCATGACATCCCTCCTCCCTCCCTCCTCCGGACCCACCCCCCTTCC